AAAAATTTTTTTTTTTTTTCCCCCCCCCCCCCCCCCTCTCTCTCTCTCTTTTGCTCCTCGCGAAATTCGTCTTTCGACCGGGGGTAAATTGCGACCCGATGCGACCACTTAGTTGGCATGTTATTAATGGTACAGTCTAGCCGCGCTGACTGCCTTTTTTTTGATTGAATGCGGATGTGCGTGCAAAAGTTAACGTCTCTCTCCCTTTTGGCGGACGTCTCATGTAGGCTCATATCATTTAGCGGTGGCGGATAGGAGGATAGGTATTATTCAGGGAGGGGTTCTTCAGGGACTGAATGGGCTTAAGGAATTGTTGAGATTGGTATCGCTTGGTGGGTGGAGAATTTTTTTTTCAAGTTCTTATCAGAGGGAAAAATTGAGTTCGTCCAACTTCTCGGGCAATTAAAGTTCTTGAGGGTTTTTTTTTCTTCCTAAAATTATCGGAAATTTTTTGTTCTGGGCAGAGGGTGCCACGGGTGAGTTGGATTTTGCTCTCACATGGAAATGCGGGGAAAATTTTGCGCCGTGAAATCTCCGCCAAAAGCGGGTGGAAAAATTTGAAAGATGGTTTAAAAAATTTGTTCACTTTGTAGAAATCGGATGAAGCGAGTTGAGGATGATTTGGTGAGAATAAATAATTTGAAGAAACGTTTGAACATAAGAGGTGGAGGCTCCGCCATCTTCGAAGCTCCTTGCGCCGGGGGGAGAGGGTATCCAAGCAAGATGGCGGCGTCCACACCTGTCGACCACCTCGTATTTTTAAGCATTTCTTTAAATTATTTATCCTGTTGAAATCCTCTTTAACGCGTTTCATTCTGCTCCTAGAAAATGAACAAATTTCCGAAACTATTCTTCAGATTTTCATACAATATTTTTTGTTTCGCAGAAATTTTTTTTTGTTTTCCCCTCGCGTGATTCGCAGCCACTGTAATTATCATACCCAGAGGTAGTTAACCCGGAAGGAGTGTGTTTTTCGAGCGGGGGACCGAAAAATTTTCAAAAGTCGGAGGCGACTACGTCTGTTTGATGTAGCGGAGGCCAGTTGTCATTGCGTGCAAAATCTATATATATATATATGCATTGGTTAACGTTAGGGATATAAGAGCTGACTCGGCTATTTAATATGTCCCTAACCCCCTCCCCCCGGATTCACCTGTCCCTCTACCCACCCACTCTGTAATTCCTCATCCACGCACAGTTGAGGAGGTAGAAAAGGGAGTAGAGCATTTACGGGGTTACTAAAGTTTTTTGTATGGCCTCCCCGCAGCCCTAAGCCCACGGTAAGATAACCCTTAGACACGCATCCCCCATTATTGCGTATGCACTTTTTTTTTCTTTCTTTCTTTTCCTCACCGCTGATGGTGCGTGTGCGATGCAGCCCTATGCAGTGAAGGTGAAGGGGGCATCGGGTAACACGGGCAATACTTGTCAGACCCTCAATTCGTTTTTTTTGCGATGGAGTAATACTTTTTTTCATGGAGGAAAAATTTTTTAAATTTTGTTTTGTTTTTGAAACGACAAAAAAATGTAGTTTTTTGTGTGAAAAAAAAATTAAAGTATTTGCAAATGTTTTTAATTTTTCAAAAATTTATTTGATTTTTAAAAATAAGAAAAATTTAATTTTTTTAACAAAAATAAAAATGTAATTTCTTTCTTGTTTCATTTTTTTCATTCTTTCCAATTTTTTTCACTATTCTCTCCAAGGAAATGTTTATCCTCTCGAAAAAAAATTGCACTTCATGAAGTCGAATGTTTTTGCACACGTCTTGCAATTGTCCATTATTAACAATCCCACGCCATTACCATTCAATGGATTTTAAATTTCAAATTACAAGAAAAAAAATCACTCTGTTCTTCCATTGAAAACTGCATACTTCACATTGGCATTTTTGTCTTCACCTTCCACATAACCGTCCCCTCCAAATGACAAAGTGCGTTCTCGAAATACACGAGACACATCGACTCCCAAAAATACCGCGATTTCCATTTTTTTTACTCGAGAAAATCTAAAAAACAAAAAATACCGCAAATTCTCCGACATATTGCACATAACAGTCCCTCAATACTTTCTATTTTCGCCCCAGACTGTGTAAAAATGTATTTAAAAAATTCTCCCTCCTCCATTCATTTTAAATTTGAAAAAAAAAAATCACATTTCAACACTTTACTCTGAAATAAAATGCAGTCAATTGCACATGTGCACGTTCCCGATTAAATATAATCATGACGTAAGTGGCCAAAACTCAAAGTTCATCGCATCGGGAAGATTGGATAAAAAAAAGTAATACTCACGATAATATTTTCTCAAAAACCCTTTTTATTTATGAAATAAATATTCACTTGTGTTATTATCTACATCATTCCCGTCTTATCATCAGGATATCCGAGAAAATTACGTTTACAACATTAACCCTAATTTCTTCACGAGCATAGAATACCCTTAAAACTATTTGCGCACATTAATATCGTTTAAGTAGAATAATATCTGGATGCGTGATCCTAGCGTTAAAAAACAACATATTTATAAATAAACATTCACAGTAAATGTGTCGAGTGAAGTAAAAAAAAAGAAAACGAATGATGAATGCGCATTGGGTTGATAATCTATTCTATACAGTCTATAAGAGGACTTAGGTGTACCATAATTTAATGCTATATTATGATTAATCGATTCGTTTAGGTATTAGTTACGACTGTTACATCGAAATAATGGAGATATATTTATGAGGAGAAATATTTTTTGAGGTGAGAATATTGAGAATTTTCAAGAAATAGATATTTTCAGTTTTTTTTCGAGAATATTAATATTTTTATGTTGGCGTGGATTAATATTGATTTGTAAAATATTTTTTTCTTCTGAAAAATCAATACCTCAGACGACAAAATATTAATATTTACTCAGAAAAAATTGGTACTGAACATTTTTTTCGGTCTCAGGAATATCAATACTTCTGATTGAAGAATATTAATATTTCTTATCAAAAAATATTAATATTGAATATATTCCTCGTTCTCTGAAATATCAATATTAGTTTCTAAAATATTTTTCATCTTATGAAATATTAATATTTCATACGACAGAATATTAATATTCGTTCAGTACATGTAATAGAATCAGTCAAGTTCACTGATTTAAGAATATTAATATTTCTATACTCAACTGTGAGATATTTTCTCTTCTGGAATATCAATATTTCACCATATGGCAAAACAAACGGTATGGCAGAATAATAATATTCACCCCGAAAAAAATTAATATTGAATATATTCCTTGTTCTGAGAAATATCGATATTAATTTGTAAAATATTTTTTCCTGTAGAATATCAATATTTCTGATAACAAAATATGAATATTCATTCCGGAATATTAATATTCGCTACTGCTAGAAAAATAGATGTGAGTTCCTAAAATGGACTTAATAATGAATTATTCGTTTTATTTTGCAATATTAATATTTCTGACGACAAAATATTCATATTCCTGCACTTGATTCGTGAAATATTAATATTTCCATTTCAAATAGAGCCTAAATACTGATTTGAGGTGATAAAACTGAACTGACAGAGCATTATTTCTCCAGAAATATTGATATTGCCCCATAAAATATCGATCCATAACTTTAAAAAAATCAATATTCTCACGTCAAAATCAATATTCTCCCATCAAATACTAGAAAAACATCATTTTTCCACTCGAAATATAAACGATGACATTAATATTCAATCTCAAAATATGTTTTTCTCCAGTTAATGGCCATAGACAGCATCTGCGCATTGTTCAAAGGCACTACTTGGTTGATACACTCGATGGATAATTAATTAAATCGCTCGACCAATAATTCGTATACATATTTCATTAGCCCTCCGGCAGTGCTTGACCATTGTATCATTAGTTAGTTCATAATGTATATATCACAGCTGAAGGATGCCGATGATATTGCATCGTTATAGCTATTTGTTTGCTTTTTTTTTTTCATAAAAAAAAATTATGAAATACGTTGGGTTGATTAATTGACGGTGCATTGATTCTTCTAGGTATTCTTTAAACGAGGAAACACTAGGATTAAATTGCTATTATCTTTAAGTATTATATAATTAGTAGGTATATTTGATAATCGTGCCTCCCAGTCTCATACACGTTTTTTTTTATTTCTCTATCCCGAGATATGTCCAAGGGGTTATCGCTTTCTTTCTCTGAATTTATCAATTTTAATCGACGAAATGGGAATAAATGAATTGCAGAGGGGATTCAATTGTTGATTGTGGGTGGAAAAAAAAAATTATCGGCAGGGGCAATAGGTCGTAAAGGCACGATTAGGATTTTTCTTTGTGATTATTCGAAAATTTCAAAAATAACACTATTACTTTTCTTTCTTTGATTCAATTAAGGATATCCAAGTACTTGGGCTATTTTTTCTCATGTGAAATGCTTTTCTACTTTTGTAGTCCAACATCAGAGCTTTTATTTGAGTCCCATTCGATCCTTAGTTTCCGGACATTTTGCAATAATTTTATTATTTAAACTTTGTAGGTCTGAATTTAAATCTCGATATTGAATCGTTATAAAACATTTTAAAAATCTAAAAATAAAATAAGAAAGTTTACTTCTGGAGGGAGATTGATGAAATAATTGAAAAATTGCAATTTTTGAAAATTACCAGCATTTTCTGTAAATAATTCATAAACAATCAATTTTTCACCATAAAAATAGTTTTTTCGGAATCGGAATAAATTCATTCATATTCAGAATTTTGCCAGAAATCGATTTCATGTCTAAAAAAATCAGATCTCCGAAAGTTTGAACAATTTCAATTATTTATTTATAAACAACGATTGTTAAAAAAATGATAATTCTGTGCAAAATATAATTTGAATGATGCTGAGTATTCATGATTTTTTTTCAATTTTTCTCACGCAATTTAATCGTCAGATAAATTGGAAATTGGTCTGTATCAGACTGTAAAAGATATCTGGATATCCTTAATTGGGTTCTTGCATAAATTGAAGTTGCATTTTTTCCATGAAAAATATGCATTATTTACTCGAAAGAACATCAGAAGTTGAGACATGAGTGCTGGTTTTCATGCAAAAAATGAGTGAATTAATGGGGAAATTTTCGCATGGAGAATGTATAATGGATAAAAAAAAAACTAAACGAAATGATGAATTATGAGGGTGGAAGGGGATTATATGGATAAGGCTATGAGCAGCCACAACGTTCGACAACCATTCCCGGTAGTCTTGTGAAAACAATTTGATACTCATTGTCGAAGTAGAGCATTGTTATTTCAGAGAGTTTTCTTGGTGCACAGCAGGGGCCTGTATTATTCGGTGGCTCAGCTAGGCTCACTATGTGAGTATTTGGATAAACTGGAAGAAATGCCATGGGACAATCACCCGAGCAGTAATTTGCATCGTATCTGAAAGCAAAAAGAGAGGGTAGATTGATAATTGTTGGTGAATTGAGTCAATTATAGATGGGTGGCATCGGAAATTGATGGTTTAAAATTCAATATGAAAGCCCTTTTGTACGGATTATTTCCGGGGTTGTGATGGAATTGAATTTTGATGAGGAAATTTGTTTTGTAATTATTGGTAAATGTATTAGAGAATCTTGAGAGGGGAATTGTGAGTGGCGGATGTGAATATTTAGAACAATTCGGACTTTTGTGAGCCTCATGGACCTCGTAAACGTTACGACCCTATGATCCCGGGTCTCCTGAATGTCCACACCGTCGTTCCTTTTGAAACAAACAATATGAATTGACTATTGATAATTTTAAACTTGTGACCCTGACACAAACCCAACTCTTAACGGTATCCACCGCCTTCTCATTTAGACGCAAACAATCGCAATTCATTATTTAGCATTCTAGACTTGAGTGACTCACGAATCTCAAAGCCCTCACAACCCTCATGAACCCAACTCTCTTGATGACATCTACCGCCTTCTATCGTGGAATAAACAATATAACCGGAATATTAAGAATCCTACACTTTGATAACCCTTATAAACCTCATAACTCTCACGACTCTCATGATCTCGAGCGTCCCAAGAATCCTCATCGACTTCTCTTTTGGGCACAAATAATGGCAACTGATTACTATTTAGGATTCTAGACTTGAGTGACCCTCACGAACTTCATAGATTTTACGACCCTCATGAACTCAACTCTCTTAACGGTATCCACCCTTTCTCTCTTGGCATAAACAATATAACCTGAATATTACAAATCCTACACTTTCGTAACCTTCGCGAACCTCATAACCCTCACGACCCTCATGACCCTGAATATTCCAAGGATCCTCACCGACTTCTCTTTTGGATGCAAATAATGGCAACAAACTATTTATGATCTTAGACTTGAGTGACTCGCGGACCTCATAACCCTCACAACCCTTGTGAACCCAACTCTCTTAACGGTATAAAAGTCTTATGAAATAAACTATTATGGAATAAACAATATAACCTGAATATTAAGAATCCTACACTTTGATAACCCTCATAAACCTCATAACTCTCACGACCCTCATGATCTCGAGCGTCCCAAGAATCCTCATCGACTTCTCTTTTGGGCACAAATAATGGCAACTGATTACTATTTAGCATTCTAGACTTGAGTGACCCTCACGAACCTCATAGACTTTACGACCCTCATCAACTCAACTCTCTTAACGGTATCCACCCCTTCTCTTTTCGCATAAACAATATAACCTGAATATTAAGAATTCTACATTTTCGTAACCTTCACGAACCTCATAGCCCTCACGACCCTCATGACCCAGAATATTCCAAGGATCCTCACCGACTTCTCTTCTGGATGCAAGTAATGGCAACTAACTATTTATGATTTTAGAGTTGAATGACACTCACGAAACTCATAGCCCTTACGACCCTCATGACCGTCAGTCTTCTAAGGGTTCCCACGGCTTTCCCTTTTGAGACATAGAATCTAAAAGGACTGTTAAGAACTGGTCTTCCATAACTCTCACGAACCTCATGGCCCTCACAACTCTCATGACCCTCACAACCCTCATGACTCTGAGCCCTCTAAGGGTACAGACCGTCCTCTCTCTCTCTCTCTGTCTCTCGACGAATAATGTAAACTGATTTAAGGATTCTAGATGTTCGTAACCCTCGCGAACCTCACAGCCCTCACGACCCTCGCTTTGTCACCTGAATTGCACTTAATATAAATAAATCCACTCACTTTTTGGGTGCAATGATCCAGTCCCACCCGAACTTTTCAAAATCAACTGTCAGCTTATACCGACAGCACCTTGTCTCCTGCGTAGCTTCATCACAATTCAGTCCAACACTTCTCTTGATCCTAGCGCCACGTCTCGACTCCAACTCTTGCGTTTGCACCTCAAGATAAGGAGCAAATTCAGCTCCAGGATTGGTCTCAACGATCCAGGAGTGTCTCCTATCGCTCTTGCCACTGGTGATCTTCAGGGCAACACCCAGATTGTCCCGCGGATGTTTGAACCACTCGGCGACCATTCGCCTGAGTTCAATTGTCACCCAGGTGCCACGTTTACCCACCGGTCGCATGTGCTTCGTCGTCAACGGGGGCCCCAGCTGAGGGGTTCCATTGTCCGATGTACCTCGTAGAATTCTCTGCAGGGTTATCGTCACCGGGCCCCGCGGGCTTTCGTCATCATCTTCTAGGATCTCGTCGGCCTCCTTGGAGTCGTCATCTAGGGTATCTTCGTCTCTTCGGGTACCCCATATCCATAAGGATAGTTCTGCTCGCGTCACTCGGTGCTGAATTACTTTGTCCGAGAACTTAAAATAGATTACGTCGAGACTGCCTTTGGAGTGTCTCAGCTTCTGATCTGGAAATTTTAGGAATTTTAAGAAATTTTGGACTTGAGATGAATAATGTAAACTAACGGTTAAGGACTAGACTTTCGTGTCCCTCACGGAGCCATAAGCCTTACGACTCTCAAAATTTTCGAGGTGGAATGATTTATTTCGTATTTTTAACCATAAAACAATGTTCTTTGAAAGGAGGAATCAAATTTTTTATTAAGGACTAGTGTTTCGCGACCCTCACGAACCTCACGGCCCTCACTACATTCATGGCTCTGAGTCTCCCCAATCCTCAGATGAAGAATGTCAAGTGACTCTCAGGGAGTATGGACTTTGCTGACCCTCACGAACCTGATAACCCTCAAAACTTTGAAGGTTACATCAAGTTTCGGGATTGATTTTTCTTCATTTAAAATTATTTTAAAAATGTAGGTCAAAATTTAGAGTGGAGTTTTTAAATGGAGGACAAGATTTCGCGAACCTCGCGGCCCTCACGACACTCCTCGCCCTGAGTCGCCTACGAATCCCCACAGTCTCTCCTCTTGAGATAAATCATGTAACTTGAGTATTGAGAATTTTTACGTTCCCAACCCTCACGACCCTCAAAATTTTGAAGGTTAAATTGGATTTTGTAGGTTAAATTATGTTGCCCTCATTCCCAATACAAAAATATGATTCAAACTTAAGAGTGAAATGTTTAGATTAAGGGCTAGAGTTATGTGACCCTCATGAACATCCTGACCTCCGCAACTTTGAAAATTTTCAAGAGTGAATAAAATTTTATAGCTTGAATAATATATTGTCTTTATATTTCAAACTGTAAAAAAATATGGTTCAAAACTAAAAGTCTAATTTTAAAATTGAGGGCAGAACTTTCATGACCCTTACGACTCTCAAAATGCTGAATGTTCAAATAATTTATTTCTCATTCACAATTTAAAACAAAATGTGGTTCAAAACTAAGAGTTGAATGTTCAAATTAAGGGCTAGACTTTCGTGACCCTTACGAACCTCATGGCCCTTACAATCCTCAAAATTTTAAACATTCAAACAATTTCTTTCTCATTCAAAATTATAAAAAGAATGTGGTTCAAAACTAAGAGTCAGATGTTCAAATTAAAGCCCAGACCCTTACGAACCTCATGGCCCTTACGGCCCTCACAATTCTGCCCGTTGAATTGAATTTTGTACCTGATTTTTGTTATTTTAAATTATAAAAAAAAAATGTTGGTTGCAAACTAAGAGTTAAATTTATTAGGTCAACTAATTATTTTTCACTTAAAATTATGAAATTGGATCGGTCTTGAAACTGATAGATTTTAATCTAAACCGATAGTGTCCCTGGTGCAATAAAACTAGTGCAACAATGTAGACTATCGCCTCTTTACGAACATTCTAAATTTACATTGTAACTAGTTTCCAACATTGTGAAACGTAATTTCACATCAGTGTTATCGATAGCAGCAGAAGTCATGACAAATGTCATTTTCCAGTGAATCATAATACAATCTTACATAAATTGTTTTTCACAAATCAGCAATTCCCTCGAAATTCAATTTTACTGGTACTCTCACCCATCTTGGAAATTTCCTCGGGTTGGCTTTCGACCTCATCCCGATAAATCTTCCTTCTGATTTTATAACCCTATTTACTTCTCGTTAGATCGACATTATGATTGAATCGGGGGCATTGGTCGGTTGTATCACGATGTTTCTCAGGTCCGTTGGAGGTAACACGCTTCCATGAAGGGTAAAGGCCGGCCAAATCGTTACCGTTACGTATAGTTTTTTGCCCCGAACTCATCCAATAAAGTGGATCTTGACAACTTGGCCTCAACCGTTTCAAACATCGATTAAGGATCGATAAAACATGTCCACATTTCTGCAACAAGTTGTCGGAACAGAGTGACACGATTTATTAGAAAAAACAATTATTTGACAATTATAAAGGGCCAATAGTAAAGTTTTACATTTCAGTGAAAAATTCTTAATTTACTTGAATTATCGAAGAAAACATGAATATTTAGAATCAAAATATGCTGAATTTTACTGATTACTGTTATTTTTTTATTTTTTGCCGTCAAACGTTTCAAGCATTGATTAAGGACCGAGAAAACATGTCGAAATTTTTGCAACAAGTCGTCGGAGCAGAGTGACACGATTTATTACGAAAAATCAATTCTTTAATAATTATTTAAAACAAGTGGAAAATTGCTCTTGTGTTGCATATAATATAGTTATTTTTGCTAATAAATTAGCAATATGCTTCTGAATGGTTATTTTGCACACCATTTCATTCTACCATGTACAATTCATTGTTTATTTCATTTTATTGAATGGAATAAAATTTCTTTCCAACTTAGTTGAATGCTTAGTAGAAAAATGATTTTCTACTTTTGTAGTCGAACCTTAGAGTTGTAATTTGAGGCCCATTTGGCCCTAAGTTTCCGGACATTTTACAATGATATTAGTATTTAAACTTTGCAGGTGTGAATTTAAATCTCGATATTGAACTGTTAGAAATCATTTTAAAAATCTGAAAAAAAAAAGAGAAACTTTACTTTTGGAGGAAGATGGATGAAATAATTAAAAAATTGCAATTTTCGAAAATTACGAGCATTTTTTATAAATAATTTATAAACAATCAATTTTCAAAATTTATTCATATTTACCGTTTTTTCAGAATCGGAAAAAATTCATTCATATTCAGAATTTTCCCAGAAATCGATTTCATGCCTAAAAAATAAGGTTTCCGAAAGTTTGAACAATTTCAATGATTTACTTATAAACAACGAATGTTAAAAAAAATAATAATTCTATGCAAGATGTTATTTGAATGACGCTGCATATTCATGATTTTTTTTCAAATTTTTCTCACGCAATTGAATTGACTAATTTGATGATTGAAAATGGTTAAATCTACAGTGCGGTGTGTACCAAACTGTAAAAGATACTTGGCTCCTTAAATTCCAATGCTTTTCAGTTTTGTTTTCTTTTTTAAGAGACAGCCCCATTAATTTTGGCAACACTGTTTGCTGACCATTTGTCAACGTGAATTTATATCGCTTCTTTGTTGCATTCTTGGCACTGGTTACTACACATGTTTCAATTATTGCAACTTGTTATTTATCATTTTAGCACCTGATGGGATAAACAAGAGATTAAACGATACAATATGAAATTTACTTGGGTCTTTATATAAATTTTCAGTTGCATTAAATTGCGAAATTATTTTGTCGTAATGTCAAAAGTATTTCAAAATTTAATAAAATAAAAAAAGCTAAATATGCAGAAAGACTCTACCACACATTTCGTTGAATGAAAATCAAATGATGATGAAATGATGAAATTAAAAAACACGTTGGTTGAAAATTTGAAAGCCCAATAGGTTTCGTTTTATTATTCCTTAACGTCCTCTTATGCTTATGGAGTACTCTATGACTTCCTCAAAGGGTTAAACCCTCTTTTTACTCGCCGTTAAAATGCAGTTTGTTCGCGTGACGGTTTCCAGTAGAAACGGCAGCAAATGATTTGACAATATAACTGAACAGTAAATCTCGGAGTGATAATCGCATTTGGGTCGCACGCTTGTACCCTATCCCCTTCTCTTTGTTTTCATTATTTTCCGGAGAATTAATTTCTCCCGAATGTGGGCTTCAAAGAATAGTGATTTGATGATACATTATTGGAAAAAAAAAAAAATTGAAATTTGATGAATTGTTGACTAGTTATTTCCAGGAGACTGACATTGAGTTTGATGTGGGGGTAAAACAAGTTGATATCTCGATTTTTGCACAAACTAGCGTCATTACAAAGTTTTTTATGAAAAAATCAGTAGCGAAGCGGTAAAACGGGTTAAGTAGATTTTGACAATCGATCAGTTTTCAATAAATTTCTCGGCATCTAAGGCAAATAGAAAAATTTATGTTAGAACCTTTTTTGTAGCTCTTAATTCGTCCTACAAAAAATATTATTATGAGAATTTCGCTATCTTCCTTAGATTCTGAGATATTCTTCGAAAACTCAGCTGAGAGCTAAGTCGACTTATACCGTTTTACCGTTCCACTACTGAAAGAACAGTGGGAACATCTCGAAAACTTTGTATGAATGGGTGTATATGTTTTGATTGATTTAGATAGAGGGCATCGAAGCGAATTTTTGGAAAAAAAAAAATCGAAATCGCTCCAATAGTTTTGAAGATAGTTGCAGAAAATGATTGAAGAGCGAATTGCTTTTTCTCAAAAACTGTTCGATCGATCGGGCTGAAATTTAGCACAGAGCTAGTCGTCATTAAGGCTTATAATCTGACAAAATTTATGATTTTTTGGAATTACTTTAGCCACTGAATTACTCAATTTGGTAGCGGTGGACAGGCTCACATACAGGCAGGGTCGCCAAACTTCGTATTTTTACGTTTCAGACCATTCTACATAATTTCCAATTAAAATTAGAGAACGTCAAAGTTGGACGATACAATATGCTTCCTTTCGAAAGCAAAAATTGTAAAATTTTAGATTTCACTGAGAATTTTCTAATTTCCTTGAATTTTGTATAAAAACATGAATATTCAGAATAAAATTATGCTGAATTTTTATGATTTCTACCATTTTTCATGAAATAATTGAACTGGAATGTACAGTTTCCATTGATTTTTGCAATAAATTTTGAATTTTAAGTGATGAAATTCCTTGAAATTTGAGGGCAACTGCAATATAATGAAAATTTTCAACAAGTGTACGGGAAATTCTGCCAAAAATTTTCAAAATACTGTGAGCAACACATTGAAGGTCCATGAATAATTGACTAGTATTTTCGGGAGAGTGACATTGAGTTCGATTTAGGGGTGAAAAATCCTGAAATTTCAGATTTCACTGAGTATTTAAATTTTTTATAAAAACATGAACATTCAGAAGAAAATTATTCAGAATTTTTGTGATTTTTTCATTAAATTTCCGAGTGACTATAGTATGATGAACATTTCGAAGGAGTGTACCGGAAAATTTTGCCAAAAATTTTCAAAACTC